ATATTTATATATATAATCTATTTCTTATTATTCCTACACTTAGAATGTGTTAAGCCATCTTCAGCTACTTTTTATTCCTATGGGTGAGTTTTCATTTTTCAAATAGATTTGAATCTACAAAAAAGTTGCAACACATCACCCGTTCACTAACTCTAAATGTTTCTAAAACAAAAAAAAAATAAAAACAAACAAAGCAAAAACCTAATTTTTCTTTTCTCCACCCCTTTCCCTTTTTCCAGGGTTGGTTTTCCTTTCATTTATTATTTATTTATTTATTTACTTATTTATTTATTTATCTATTTATTTTTCATTCATTCATCCATTCATCCATTCATTCATTCATTTATTTTGGTTTTTTGAAACAGGGTTTCTCTGTGTACCTTTGGAGCCTGTCCTTGAGCTCACGCTTTAGCCCAGGCTGGCCTTGAACTCATGAGTGCTGGGATTAAAGGCGTGCGCCACCACTGCCCGGCTGGTTTTCCTTTTAACGCAAAGCCGCGTAGACTTTTTGTTCCTCCGCACTCCCTGTAGATAGGTGATTTCTCATTGGCTGCTCTGCGTGACGTATTATTTCCGCGCCCTGGCGTTCTACCCTTCGGCGCGTGTTCGCGTTTCCAGCTTTGAGTGGTTGTCCCAGCGCCGGCTGTCATCACCCATGGCTCAGCAGCCGCTGCGTCTGTGAGTTACCTTGCATCGGAAGACTCAGGAACCTAGTGGGGAAAGGAAAGGAGGAGGGACGCGGGGGCGATGCGGGGGTCGTTCTCCAGACCGGAAGGGGCTGGCGGAGGGGGAGGTCGCGGGGCTGCTGGGAGCTGGAGTCGAGGCTTCCTGCTGTCCTGTCGTTTTTCCACCCTAGCGTCTTCAGAGTCTCTCCGGGGGAGATAAAAACTTGCGGAGCCAGACTTTCGGGGTTTTTTTTAAGCCTACCCTACCTGCGACACACCATCTCCCCTTCATTTCTCCTCTCGTGGCTTTTATTGATTAGCCGAATACTTGCAGACGTCAGGTGCAATGATGGGTATTGGCAGACAGGGTACTTATTGCCCCTGCCTCGGCGTGCTTTTGTGGCGTGGTCGGTTAGCGAAGACAAGACTTCATTTAGAAGGATTACTGAGTAGCGGCAGTGTGGCGTGCATGGGTGCCAAGCGTTGCCCAAACGAGTTCCCGCCATGATAGCTGATAATCTTGACCAGAAGAACAAGTGTCAACGAATGCGGAAAATGTAGGGAAAAGGTTGACGGTTCTGGAGGATATGTGATGATATTTGGCTTAATGGAAGGAATTAAGGCTTTCCTGAGAAAATGAAGATTTGACTCTGGTAAATATTGTCGTTAACCCAGAGAAGTCATTGACGTGTTTAAAAACTCCTTAGCGTGATCCAGTTTTTGTTGTGGAAAGTGATCCTGCTTGAAAGGTGGGAAACAAATCAGAGCCAAAGTAGAAGGAAGCTAGGATTAGTTAGCGTGAGAGCAGAGGGAAAGTTCAGCATTGATGGTTTACTAGGCAGGTGTAATCGGCAGGGCTTGGTGATGTTTTAGTTGTGAGGAACTCCCACTGTAAGGTCACAGATTTCCGTCTAAAATCATTGGGATCAGGAAACACGGTAAAAGCACCCACACCAGATAATGAATATTGAATGTGTCTCCTGGGAATTGATAATCAGCGGGCCAGGGCTGAGAAGATTTCTAGAGGTGCTTAGAGAATAAATCAGATTGCTTAGTAGTTATGACAGAGTTTGTTCTGAAATGGTACATGGGTTTCTGAGATTTTGAGCAAGAGGAGCTTTCTCAGCTCACCGGGAAAGCTCCAGAGATTGATTAGGCCTTGATGGGTGGGAAAAGCTTTGAGGATGAGTACAGTGGAGCTGTTAGGAGAGAGGACTTTCCTAGAGAATAGCAGAGACAGAGAGTGACCTCTGGGCAGATTGGGAAGAGTTCAGTTAGGAAGACTAACTGAAAGCACTGGAAAGACAGGCCAGGACCTGAGGAGAACTGTTTCTACAGGAAATGAGTGCCTTGTGATGATTTTGAGGAAGGAACATTAAACTGTTGGCTGTATGTTGAATTAATCGAAAGAAGAGAAGGCATGAGAGGATCTGTAAAGTCTGCCTTGTATTCCAGACCAGATAACTAGGTTTGTCTGAGTCTGCCTCAGCCGAACTCAGTTGCTCAGCCTTGTTGTCCTCCATTCCTACCTCTCCTTTCCCATTCTACTTCTCTCCTTAGTTTGTGTTCAAACTCTTTAAGTTTCTCACCTGATTTTCTCTTCCTGTTTCCATTGGCCATTGCCCTTGTTTACACTTTTGGTTGTAGTTAACTGTTCCTCCAGACCATCATTCACTGTTATTAAAAGTATTGATGAAGTATGTATAATCATATCATCATCATATCATTATGCTGCTTGAAAATGTCCAGTGGTCGGACCAATAAGGGAACACCAGAGAGACATACTGACAGAACAATAGAAACTGTAGTACTTAGAGTTAAACCATGTTAAGAAAATAAGTAAGGGCCGGGCGCACGCCTTTAATCCCAGCACTCGGGAGGCAGAGCCAGGCGGATCTCTGTGAGTTTGAGGCCAGCCTGGGCTACCAAGTGAGTTCCAGGAAAGGCGCAAAGCTACACAGAGAAACCCTGTCTCGGAAAAAAAAAAAAAAGAAAGAAAGAAAATAGTAAGGGCTGGTGAGATGGCCCAGTGGGTAGAGGCACTTCCTGCCAAGCCTGGTGACACACCTGGTGGACGGAGAGGACTAACTCTGGTTGTCCTCTGACCTCCACATGAGTACTGTGGCTTACATACGCCCTCCCCAGTATAATACCTTCCCCCAAATAAAAACAAACAAAGGACTATATAAGTCAGAATTCTAAAGGTCATAAATTAGAGGTCAGGACAAGTTACTTCACAGCCTGGTGTGGTCTACCTTATCACCCTCAGCTCTTTATGTTTTCTCCTTCCAGCTCCGCAACACGATGCTCACCTCCCCTCATAGCTTCTTCCATATAAATTAGGATTGCCGCTTCCCTTATTGTAAACTCTCTGTTTAAATGAGCCTGCCTCCTCTTATAATTCTAACATGTCCTTGGGGTAGTATTTGGCACATTGAACTTTGCATAGTGTAGTTGTTCGGTTTGTGTTTTCCAGTGGATGCCTGGAGCTGTGCAGTAGGCACAGGCCATGGAAGTGAGAACAGAATGGTTATGAAAAATGTTTGGAGAAAAGATTAAATAAGGGACTTGTTGACTTAGTGACCATGTTGGTGATAAACCTAGCCACAAATCTTGGGAATGAAGAGCTGGCTCAATTCTGAAGACAGGAAGAGCTAAATTTTAGATATGGTGCGTTGAAGGTGTAGGTGAGATCTCCAGGAAAATCTACCTGGTGGCTAGTAATATTTGAATGCACCCCAAGTAGAAGATACCTGCAGACTGCACAGCCTGTGTCCTGTCGCTAATCAAGAAGACAAGCCCAGCAGATCCATCGGTGTCTCCTGAATTGCTGTCATGCTTCTCTCTTGTTCACAGTTTGGCTTGTGGCGATGTTGAAGGGAAGTTTGATGTTTTATTCAATAGAGTTCGAACAGTTCAGAAGAAGAGTGGGAACTTTGACGTAAGATGACCATTTTTACTCACATTTTACTACCGTAATCAAACATTAAAGTGTGGGATTCTTTGTTAATTTTGTGATTGACTCTCCATTTTGTTGTTAGGTTGAATTTTCCTCTTGAATATGAACTTAGTAGCTATGGACTGATGGGGAGAAAGGAGAGCTATTTACTGTCCACTTTACACTGTTTGAATTGCAATCTCGTTACTTTCTTACTGTACCAAAAACCAAACCAAACCAAACACCTGGGTTTGGTAAACACAGATCTACTTCATGAGTGTGTGCTATGGATTAAATCAGGTAACACGTGCAAATGCTTCACAAAAGAAAAAACTAGGAATGAATGTTGTATATGGTTGCCAAGTAGATTATGAGTCCATAGAATACAGAAGAGTATTGTAGGTGTGGGAGAATTTGTTCATTGTGTTAAAGGTTAGTAAATACAGTGGGGAGTGATTTAAGTTTCGTATTTCACAGAGGGATTCTTTAAATGTCTGTTTCAACACTGCTGTGTATTCTCAGGAAGGAAAGGATAGAGAGACCCTGGGAATCTTTGGAAAACACTTAAATTCTGCCTTCTTCTCAAAGTTTATATCCCCCACTCTCTCCTCATCCCCCCAACTTAGATTTGATTGTCAGTGCACCAAAGTTTAGTAATTTATGGAATTATCAGTTAATTAACTGTTCTTAAGGATGTTTTAAAATTCTACAAATGAAATGAAGAGTAAATGCTTGGTTTGAGACTACTAAATAGAGTAATTAACTAAATATTACAGTCAAAAATGTACTCTTTAATTGTTTTGTTTTAATCTCATATTTTTAAAAAACTCATTTTAGCTGCTGTTGTGTGTAGGAAATTTCTTTGGCTCTACCCAAGATGCCGAGTGGGAGGAATATAAGACTGGCCACAAGAAAGGTACAGGAATTATTTTTATTTAATGTGTGATTTCTAACAAAATGTCAGGGGCTGTAGTTGTTGGGTTGCTTTTCACATATTAGTTGCTGAAAATTTATTTCTCTCGTGCATTGGTGAGCAGAGCTGCTTTCAGAGAATTCCTCTCGTGCCCTTGACGGCGCACACTTGAAAGGCCAAGGTCAAAGTATCATGAATCCATGACTATAGCTTGGGCCGCATGGCTAGACTGTCTGAAATAGAACAAAGTAAAGAAGAGTGGTGTGTCCCTCTTGAGCCCTGCATCGAGCTGAAAGGAATGCATATGTATAATCCATCTTTTTCCCCACATTTTGAATTTCCAGTTTCTTTCTACCAAAAGAATGCTCATTTAGACTGGCAAGAATTGAATAAGTGCAACTGAGCATGCCCTTTCATTTATTTTCAGTTTTAGCGCTTTTTTTTTTTTTTAGCAAGTGCTTTTTTAAAAAAATACTTTATTTTCTTTATTTCCAGAGAGCTGATTTCCTAGCTCACTATTTTTTAAAAAAAGATTTATTTATTTTTATGTGCATTGATGTTTTGCCTGCATGTATAACTGGAGTTATAGACAGTTGTGATCTGCCATGTGGGTGCTGGGAATTGAACTAGGGTCCTCTGGAAGAGCAGATAGTACTCTTAACTGCTGAGCCATCTCTCCATCCCTGTCAAGTGCTTTTATTGTAGGCTGTTTTCTTCATTGTATATACACTGACCATCTACTTTAAGATGGTAATTCATTGGCCTAGAGCTGTCATTCAGTAGTTAAGCCACAGGGTTGGATTAGGACTTCTTAGTGGTGGGGCTCTACATTTAGGAAGGAACTCAGGCTCTTTACTCTGGCTATGACTATGTGACCCATGAGGGACATTTCAGAGCAGATCCAGTAACCATATGGTGCCACGTCTGTTTCCCCCATTAGCTCCTATTCAGACATATGTTCTTGGTGCCAACAACCAGGAGACAGTGCAGTATTTCCAGGATGCTGATGGGTGTGAATTAGCTGAAAACATCACTTACCTGGGTGAGTTAATATTTGTTGTTGTAATGAATTTAGTAAAAGATTTCCAGGGATTGGTCCCTTAGGAGGAGCTTTGATTGGATCCTTCTGCCATTGAAGCTTGGGAAAATAGGAGTTTGTTTTGTTTTTCCCTCTGGGGCAGATTTTTTCCCTCAAAAAGTCTGCACTTGTACCTCTCTGGACAGTGATGTTTCTTCTCTGCTGTTTCTCTGTTGCCCTCAATCTCCTGTGTTACTGTAGCTGTGTACACAGTTTTTCAGCCATCTAGAGTGACCTTGCCCACATTACATGGAGAACTTAAAGTGAACATTACGTTCAAATAAAAGCAAGTCCGTCCTTATTGTAGGTCTTGCTGCATGCACATGCCTTACTTGCTAATCTGGCTAGCTAGCTTTACTCTAGCTCAGATTTTCAGTGTTCATCCCTGAGATTTTTCTTTCCTTTTGTCCTCGTTCCTCGTTCAGGGCCACTCTGATTCTAGGTTGAAGCTGTTCACAGCCCCCGCACTTCTTCTTCGGTGTCAGAATAAAAGCAGTGGTCAAGTTCTCCTGTTGCCCCCTCCCCCTCTGCTGTGAGCTTGCTGTCTCGGGCCTTCAAGTCGTCGTTTTCTACAACGCTTCTTCACATTGTTCTTGTGTCTCTAGAAAGCTGCTGTATTTCCTTGGTTAGAAATGCCCTTCTTTACCCTTCCCACAGTACTTTGTCATTGCCTTTAGTCCTCCATGCCAATGTGGTCCTCGTAGAAGCAATTTCCACTTTCTCCAATCACATGAAACTCCTTTAGACAGAGTGAGGGAAACATTTTTTATATGATTTAAAATGTATTGTTATGTTATTATTTGTGTTACTGGAGATAAAACCCAGGGTCTCGCACATTTGCTAAGTGTGTGCTCTGCCACTGAACTGTCTCTATAGTCCCCGTGCTTATTATTTTTACATATTTTCATCAGTGTGTGTGTGTGTGTGTGCGCGCGCGCGCGCGCGCACATACATTTGCCACAGTGCACGTGTGGAGCTCAGAGGACAACTTTGTGGAGTTGGTTCTCTTTTCTCACCTTTATGTAGGCTCTAAGGCTTGAACTCACTCAGGATTTTAGACTTGCAAAGCAAACGCCTTTTCTTGAGTCATCCCTACCAGGCCTGCTTTTTAAACAGGAGTTATTGTTATTTTCTGAGTGTGGGTGTATTGCCTACATATATGTATGTGTGTGTACCACATGTGTGCCTTGTACTGTTGGGGATCTGGAACTAGAGTTACAGACTTTTGAGAGCCACCCTCTGGGTGTTAGGAACCACACCCAAATCCTCTGATAATGGCTGAGCCATCTCTCTGGCCCCTCTGCTTATTGATTTTTAGCTACAGCTGTGAGACAGACATTGAAATGCGTTTGTTATAGATGTGAACATGGGTCTGACTTGTCACAATCTGTGTTTTTCCATTGTATTAGGAACGCTACTGTATTTGTCAACCGTTTTGTCAGGTGCAGTCCACTGAGCCACGTCTTTTCCACAGTGATCTTGTTGGTGGACCTGTGATAGCCTGACGCATCGCAGTTGTATATAACTTGATAGTTCTTTCTAGAGCAGATCCATTAGTATACAATTTGGGGAGTTGGTACTATAAAGATGAAAAATAAAGCTAAGAAAAGGATCAAGCTGTTAGAGAAATAGAGTGAGGGGAAGCAAGGAGATGATGGTACCTTGGTGAGAGGCTGTCATCAGGGTGGGGGAAACAGGTGCTCGAGGACAGGTCAGTGTGCAAACACCAGCTTTGCAGGATCTGAGGGAAGGGTGTGAGGCCACCGGCAGTTTCAGTCAGTGACCAGCAGCCACCACAGAAAAGCTATTCCCACTTAGGGAACAGGAATGTTGTCAGAACCAGGCAGTCTGGATCTCTGGCAGCCAGGTGGGGCTGTGGGAGTTACACCCCTTCAAGTGTGTAGAAAGACAGAGAGCCAGGAGATTTCCTTCTGCAGTTTTGACTAAAACTTGTTCACTTTTCTTTGAACCCAGGTCGAAAAGGTGTCTTCACTGGAAGCTCGGGGCTGCAGATTGCGTATCTCAGTGGGACAGAGTCCTTAGATGAACCAGTCCCAAGTTACAGTTTTAGTCCCAAGGACGTGTCTTCTCTGAGAACAATGCTGTGTTCAGCATCCCAGTTTAAGGGTGTTGATATCTTGCTCACGTCCCCATGGCCCAAGTATGTGGGGAGCTTTGGGAATTCTTCTGTGAGTAGTGTTTGTTCAGTTGAAAATTTTAAAGCAAATTGCATTGGTTTAAGTTGGGATTTTAACATTCTTTTTCTTTTTCTTTTGACTATTTTAACTCTTAGCACCTTTTATTAGAAATGTTTTATGGGGCCTGGAGAGATGGCTCAGTGTCTAAAAGCACTGGCCGCTCTTCCAGAGGTCCTGAGCTCAATTCCCAGTAACCACATAGTGGCTCACAACCATCTGTAATGAGATCTGGTGCCCTCTTCTGGCCTGCAGGCAGAACACTGTATACATAATAATAAATAAATTTTAAAAAATGTTCTATGAAAACTTTCAAGATTCTAAAAGCTACATCTGCTGACAAAAGCAGAAGTTGATCTCATGAAAGTGTAATTTATAGATGAGATTGCTGAATCTTAATTGTAAGTGAATGGTTCCTGAAATTATGTTCTCTGTAAGTATCTCCATTAACCTTTCTCTTTATATATTTTGCAAGTTTATTAATTCTCAGTGGAAAGATTTACAGCTATTGGCATCTCTCCAGTTGCATTTATTTTCCCCTTTCCATTCCAGAATATTGTTTCTGGACAGGGTTTCTCTGTGTAACAGCTCTGGCTGTCCTGGAACTCGCTCTATAGACCAGGCTGGCCTCAAACTCACAGAGATCTACCTGCCTCTGCCTCCTGAGTGCTGGGATTAAAAGTGTGTGCCACTATGCCTGGCCCATAAAAGATTTTTATGGGAAAGAAAACAATATAGTTAGGTAATCTTTGTGATGCTACAGCTAAGTTCAAGGTCAGTCACCTGCCTTTTAGGAAAAACTTGAAGCAGGAAAGCATAAGACAAGAACAAAGCTAGGAATGTTCTGTGAGCAAGTCTACCCTGACAAAATATTTTATTTGCAAGCTTCTGTTTGTTTTATTTTGTTTGAGATAGAGTCTTTATGTAGCCGTCGCTGTCCTGGAACTTGCCATGTAGACCAGGCTGGCCTCAGATTCACAGAGATCTGTCTGCCTCTGCCTCCCGAGTTATGGGGTCAAAGGTGTTTATAAGCTTTATAACAAAGGTGTGGTTGTGCCACTTCCCTGACTAAAATAAAAGGAAGGCTTATATGCTTATGAGGCCCCTGAATGTTTGCTGGGCCCTGGGAGCTCTGAATGTTGCAGTTCAGTTTATTTTCTACATTGACCATGACTTACTGCTCTATCAGATACATAGGTGCACTTTAAAGCTTACTTATGGAGACATAATTTATAGGCTGTAGGGAGAGAACTGTCTTCAAAAAGAGCTCTTAATGTGTGTTTTAGAGGTCATTATGGAAGGGTTGCCTTGCCTTGTACCCACTGGTGTCCAACAATTGTGCTGTTCTGAAATTATACTAGTCCAGTACTTGTATGTGTTTCATTGCCCTAGGCATGTAATTCACTGCAAATCTTGCAGTCCACACTTGTATCTGTGTATGAATTAGAAAGATATTTCAAAATGCTTTCTTGTTTCTTTGCATTTGTTCATAATTCCTGAGCCTGTGTGGATAACCAAGTTCCCATTTACTAGGGAGAAGTGGATACCAAAAAATGTGGCTCAGCTTTGGTCTCCAGTCTTGCTGCAAGCTTGAAACCAAGGTATCATTTTGCTGCTTTGGAAAAGTCATATTACGAGAGACTTCCGTACCGGTGAGTAACACCTCAGGGGGCTTTTCTACAAACTTCCCATCACCTTGTTCACTTTTAGTCATGTGTCTTGGTTCCTTCTAGTACTAAGGCACCAGAACAAGTGATTGACTGTATTAGTTCCACTTTTGTTACTGTGGTAAAATGTCATGGCCAGAAGCAACCTGAAGAAGAAAGGGTTTCTTTTAACTTATAATTCCAGGAGAATCCACCATGGAGGGGAAGGCATAGTGTGGTAGCAGGAGCAGAAAGCTGGCTGATCACATTTTATCTGTACATAGGAAACAGAAAGAAAGAGCAGGAAGTGGGCCAAGGTGTAAACCTTCAAAGCTCATGACATACTTCTTCAACAAGGCTCCACCTCCCAAGGGTTCCCCACATAGCACCACCAAGTGTTCCTCTGGAGGACATTTCCCATTGAGACACCACACTCATAAGTCATTCATTTTCTGAGTTTGTTTCCTAACTTGAAATAAAAGGGGTTAGACTATAAGACTCCTTAAAAGTTTAGGGTCTATCTTTACAGTGCTGGGTGATCGTTGTAGATGATTGGGTCCTGTTTTGTTGTTGTTTTTGGTGGGTTTTGTTTGTTTGTTTTGTTGGTGGTGTTTTTTTGATTTTTGTTTTTTGTTTTTTTGAGACAGTCTCTCTATGTAGCCCTGGCTGTTCTAGAACTTACTATGTAGACCAGGCTGTCCCTGAACTCACAGAGATCCACCTGCCTCTGCCTGCAGAGTGCTGGGATTAAAAGTGTGCGCCACCACTGCCTGGCGCTCACCCTTTTTTTTTTTTTTTTTTTAGAGAAAATGTGTAGTATTTCTCTTTCTGAGTAGTTTAGTTCTCTTAACATCATGATTCCTGGTCAGTCCATTTTCCTGCAGTTGTCATGCTTTTGTTTTTATTTTTGGTTGGAAATTCCATGTGTGTGTGTGCACTATTTTATCCATTCATCTGTTGCACAGTTAAGTAGTTCCACACTTCCAAGTGAAGAGTGTAGCAGTAACCATGGATGGACATGTTTGATTAGGAGCCGAGTGGTACATCAGGGTCATCTGGTGGCTCTGGCTTAGTATGTGAGAGGCCTCCTAATGTTGCATGATTTCACATTCCCACCAGCAGCATTTAAGGGTTTCCCTCTCCCTGACCCTCACCACCTCTATAGTCCTGGTTAGAATGACTTGAAAGAAGGAGGAGGAACTATTTGAGGGAAGGAAGAGAACCAGGGTGGTTGGCAAGGGGAGGGGCATGAATTAAAGCAAAGTATAAAGGTTCCTATATGAAAATGCCATAATGAAACCCACTGCTCTGTAAAATAAAATAAAGTGACCTGTCATTTTTCAAATACGTTCTAGAAACCATGTTGTTCTACAAGAAAGCGCGCAGCATGCCACCCGCTTCATAGCGCTGGCCAATGTTGGGAATCCGGAAAAGAAAAAGGTAAAGATTTGAGTGTTTGTGGGCTACTCTTCACTGTCGGCGTGGGAAGTGTTTTTCCTCTAGTTTGGCATTCAGACCTTCTGGCCTCCAACCGGAAGCTCCAGCAGCTTCAGTGACTCCTTTGTAAAGCCAGGGTTCCTGGGTGGCTTTGTCGGAGGTCTTAGAGAAAGGCGTGGCTCAGTGGGATACGGCAGAGTTAGAACGGTGTTCCTTTCCATCCACATCCATGTGCTTGCCTCTGTTGTTACGTGTGTTTGCCCCAGATGAAAGGCTTACTTGCTTCTAGCAGCTTCGTTTAGCTGAAATGATAAAATCCTCTCAGGAATATTCTTAAAGCTTGGTACAGTGGCACATGCCTTTAATCCCAGCACTTGGGAGACAGTGACAGACCGATCACTGAGTTTGAGGCCAGCCTGGTCTACATAGTGAGTTCTAGGCCAGCCAAGGTTACCTAGTAAGACCCTATCTCAAAAACAACAACAGCAACAGCAGCAAACAAAATGAAACATATATGTATATATGTGTGTGTGTGTATGTATGTATGTATGTATGTATGTATGTATGTATGTATATTAAGCCTTCCTTGGCTTTTTGAATTATTAGTTATACCTGGAATCTAGAAAATAGTACAGATGGTGAAAGGAAATAAATCAGCAAAGTAGAAAGTGTGTTTCACTTCTCTGGGAATGTCTTGCTAGTGCTGAAAATGAGACTGTTGACTGAGACAGCTAATACCAAAATAAGCAGTTAATGAGAAAATAGGCAGAATAATCTTCCTCTCTAAGCAATTGTTTTCTATAGCATGTTATCGACAGTGTTTAAACATAAGTAACCTCATGCTCATTCTCTATGTTTTAAGCTTTGAAGCTCGTTCTTGGCAGGTCTAGACTGTGATGTTTTAAGCTGACCATTCGGGCTGAGCAGTGCTTTGTGATTGATTTCAGGCTCTTAGTTTCACAGATGCACAATGCAGCTCATGTCGTAGTCAAAAGTGCACAGTTTTAACTTGACAAGCACCATTCACCTCAACATTCTGTCCCAGTTATTCCTTACCCTTTTCTTGTACTCTGACTGGATAGTGTCAGTTTTCCCCAGTACAGTTAAATGGAAGATAGTGTATCCCTGTAACTTCAAGTTTCATTTCCATATTGTGTTGAAGTAAAGCATATATTTATGCCTAAAGTTTTCTGTCTTATGCTATTAGCCCAAGAGTTATAAAGTATATATGAATTATTTTCTTGTTTGCTATTCATCCCCAAGGCAGTGAACAGCATATGTGAGAATTGTGTAGTGTCAGAGAGAAAGCTTACTTTGTCCAGTTGGAGTGTTCATTAAGAAGATGATTCTGTTGACAAAGTTCACATAAACAAAAGATGCAGTGACAGGAACAGAGTGTCTTCAAAGCTTACAAAACAAGTCCCCCTGAGCCTTGTGGTGAGGGTTGTCACAGTCCCCTATCCAAGTGAAGGACCTTGTCTCTAAGGTCCGGGCCTTTGATTGGTTGCTCATTACTGTGTGAGCCCTCATTAGCCATTGCAGAAGCCACCAGAATGGCATTTGTTACACTACTGTGTATTCTCAGAGCCACACTCAGGCTTGTGATTTTACTTATGTCGGAGACTTTCTGTGAAATTGTCATCGTAACCTGGGTTGATCACAGTGACTATAACAGTATTTTCTCTAACGTTATGCTGTTTTTGTTTTTGTTTTTGTTTTCTGGAGTATCTTTATGCATTCAGTATTGTTCCCATGAAGCTAATGGCTGTAGCAGAACTGGTAAAGCAGCCTCCAGATGTCACTGAGAATCCTTACCGAGAATCTGGAAAGGAAGCAGCTGTAGGAAAACAAATTCCTGCCCCTCAGGTGACTTTTGATTGTGGGCTGGGATTCAGGGCCAGGTTGTCCTCTGTAGGTACGCTTTTCCTGGTTATAGTTTCATGCATCAAACAAGTTCAGTTCTAGACTCATAATGTTTTTCCTCTTGGCAAATCATGATAATATTTAGAAGATCCTAATAGTTTGTAATTAAGTTCAAATTTTTAATTGTATTTTGAGGTTAGCAGTTCAGTGTTGAGTCTTTGCCTGAGTTGACTCATATTTTTTTTTCCTTGTCTGAAGTTGATTATTCAGTTTTTTCAGGCAAGGGTCCATTGGTAGCAGAGATTTATGATTTCTAATAGAGAAATTTACTTTGAAGAAGTTTCTTAGTAACAGACCTTTAGAAATTAGCTTTTCCCCCGACTAAAGCGAGAGCAGTCACGTTTTCATGGTAGGGCACAAGGTCTGCTTTCTTGGACTTCTCTGTCCACTCAGAACCATGTTCTGCCTCCCCTTTCTACCTTTGCTCCTAATGGCTCTTTGACCCTCTCGTCTCATTAGTTGAAGTTGGCTCAGACTTGTTTCATCTCTGAAATTTTAGGGCTACTCTGTGTCATTATTGGGAGAGAAAGGAGAAAATGTAATTGGGTTTATATTGCTCTGCTTTGGGGAAGAATTGCTCTATACATTTTTTATTTTTCAGAAGAGATAAATGTGGTAGTGGTTGGATAGGTGTGCTGAGATATGGGACTGGGTGGGAGTCCAGGCATCAGATTGGGAAGATACTTCTCTTCCCTAGAATAGGCAGGGAAGGGCTGAGAGGAAACAGATGTGGGCAGCAGGCAAGTCCCCTTTTGTTGGTGGTTGGTTACTGTGTGAAGGCTAGCTGAATAGCATATTCCTCCCACTGGCCATTCCAGGAAGAACCTGCCTGTCAATTCTTCTTCGATTTGAATGAAAAGCAGGGAAGGAAGCGGTCATCCACAGGCAGAGATAACAAGCCTCCTCAGGCCAAGCAGCCTCGCAGACCTCGTAAGTACCTTGGTCTCCTTTGGGAGCAGTACCTTTTTTGGGGGGCGGGGGGCTGGGGGGTTTGGAACGTGGCATTGCTAAGAGCATCTTCTGGCAAAGAAAAGTTTATGGAGCTACTAGGAGCAAAGTGAAAATAGAATAGTATAAAAATGGCCTACATTGAGACTGTTTGAGACTCTTCCTGTAAGGATATAGAGGGCTGGAGAGATGATTCAGTGGTTAAGAGCACCAACTGCTCTTCCAGAGGATTCAGGTCCAATTCCCAGCACCCACATGGTGGATCACAACTGTCTGTAATTCCAGTTCCAGGGGATCTGACACCTTCTCACCAATGCACATGAAGTTAAATAAATTATTTTTTAAAAAAAGAATATAGAAGAAGCTCCTTTTGTCTCTGTAAAACATAGTAAGGGTGTCTAAAACTGAGGAGAGTTTGTAAAATATTAGAACTGTCAGTAAACTGAGAAGAAGGGCTTTCAGGCTAGCTTTCATGAGGTCCTCTTTCTTCCCTCTGTTATTTTAAAGAGGTGAGTCTGAACTTAGGAAGGTCAGCCTGTGGTTATGTGGCTAGCTGATGTCATGGCTGGGACTAGAATTGGGGTGCCTGACAAACCCCCACCCAGGTCAGTGTTCTCTTACTGTAGCCTGTTGCCAGTTGCCTGCTGCTTTTTTCCCCAATGTGTGATCTATTTGTGGATCACGTACCTGTGGACTGATTATCAATTCAGAAGGCTTCAAATAGTGGGTTAGTTTCATTGAAAATGGTGCCAGGCGCTGGGCAGACATAGTGAGAAACACAAGTCCAGCCCACTGGGGCTGTGCTTTGCGGTCTTTGCGGTATGTATAGATCAGACAATGACGAATAACAATGAGTTCTCTATTTAAAGTTATTAATATTGTTGGCATGTGTGAGTGTGCATGCACAGCTGCTGTGACGTGCATGTGGAAGTGCGAGGACAGCTCTGGAGTGAGCTCTTTCCTTCCACTGTGGGTGTGGGTATGGACCTCAAGTTGTCAGGCTCGTGTGGCCAGCACTTTTACCTGCTAATCCATCTTGCCAGCCACCAGGATAAATTCTGTAGGTTGATTATTCCTGTTGTGATTGGAGCATAATAACGCTTGGCTTTCTTTCATATAAAGCTCAGCCTCCAGGACCTTGTTGGTTTTGCCTTGCCAGCCCTGAAGTGGAAAAGCATTTGGTGGTCAACATTGGCACACATGTGAGTTCCTTTCACTGGCAGAGAAGAAAATGTCTATTACTTGGTTTTTACTGATTGCACATGGTATATGATCTGCTTACCACATTTACTCTCTTTTCTTTTCCTCTCCCTTTCTTCTTTCCTTCCTTTCTCCCTTCCCCTCCCCTCCCCACCTTCTTGTCCCCAGGGTCTCTCTACATAGCCCTGGCTGTTCTGGAACTTACTGGTTAGACTAGGCTGGCCTCAAACTCCCAGAGTTCCTTCTGCCTCTGTCTCCCGACATTGCCCAGCAAATTTACCCATTTTAAGTGTATAATTCATTGATATTTTAGTAAGTTTATTAAATTATGCAACCATCACATAATAGAGGTTTAGATGCCAGGTATGATGGTGCACACCTTTAATTCCAGCACTCAGGAGGCAGAGGTAGGTAGATCTCAAGTTCAAGGCTAGTCTGTTCTGGTTCATAGCAAGTTCCAGTACAGCCAGGGCCACACAGAGAGACTCTTGTCTCAAAGAAAGGAAATAAAAAAATAAAATAGAGGTTTAGAACATTCCCATAAGTGCAATATTTCTTAGACACATTTACAATAATCTGTTTCCATCCTCAACCTTGGCTACAGCTTACATATTTTGTGTCTTTTTAAGGTTTGTGGGGTTTAGACATTACATTTAACTAAAATCATATAATACATGTTTTTTGTGTATGGCTTCTTTGACTAGCATATTCTTAAGGTTCATTCATACTGTGTTTGATATATAAATGTTTCATTCCTTTTTATTGCCTATTAGTGTTATATAGATATACTGTTTTTTGTCTATTCACTTATCACTTGATAGACATTTAGTTTGTTACCATTTTATTACTCTCAGGAATAATGTAATTTTTGCACATTTGTGAATGGAAGACATGAAGTCATATGTTTTAATTTGGAAAATCTGTGTTTAAACTTAAAAGTTGTTAGTTTTTTGTTTTGTTTTGTTTTGTTTTGTTTTCGAGACAAGGTTTCTCTATGTAGCCCTGGCTGTCCTAGAACTTACTTTGTAGACCAGGCTGGCCTCAAACTCAGAGATTCACCTGCCTCTGTCTCCCAAGTACTGGGATTAAAGGCATGAGCCACTATTGCCTGTCCTATATTTTGTTTTTAAGTATCTGTAGTGTGCGTTTGTTGATATATGTACATGTAAGTGCAGGTGCCTGAGGATTCAGGCCTTGGATCCCCTGGAGCTGGAACTACAGGAAATTGTGAGCCACCTTATAGGAGTCTGGAAACTGAACTTTGGTCCTTTGCAAGAGCAGTATGTGCTCTTAACTGCTAAGCTCTCTCCAGCTCTGTTTTAACTTTTTAAGAAATTGTCAGACTGATTTCCAAAATGACATTATTTTATGCTCCCACCAGCAACATTATGAGAGTTCTGGTTTTTCCACATCCTCATTTGATGTTGCCTAAAGTCTTTCCCCTCCTTTCTTGATAGTGTTAGAGATTGAAACAGGGTCTTGTGCGTGTTGGGCAAGAACTCTGCTATTGAGATACATCGTTAGCCCATGTCCTGCCCTTTTGATTATAGATGTTAGTTTTATAGAATCAGTTTCACAAGCACTCTTCATTCCTGTCTCCCTCTATAGGATGAATCTTCTGTATATTTCTTAGATTAATCTATGTTTCTTAGAGTGTTGAGTTGATTTTCTTAATTTCTCACTGTTTTCCTTGCTTTAAATACTAAGTACAGAAGGGAGTCATGTGTTGCTTATCTACACGTATAAGTTTAAAATGTTGATATTGTTAACCCAGTGTTGTGACTCATGCCTGTAATCCCAGCTCTCAGGAGGCCAAGGCAGGAGGATTGTCACAAGTTTAAGGTCAGCCTGGACTACATAATGTCTTCTAGGCTAGGCTGTCCTTCAGAGTGAGGGTTTGTCTAAAAAATACAACAAAGCCACCAGGAACTGAAGTTCATTAAGCATAACAAAGACTAAAGTGATAAATTCAGTTTGGCACTCAAGGATTTTATTAGTCAGGGTTCTCTAGAACTTATAGAATCTCTCTGTATATCTATACCTATATCTATCTATATCAATATATACACACATAGGTATGTATGTATATGTCTGTATATATGTGTATATGTGTGTATGTATGTATGTGTATATATATATGGTATTTATTAGAATGACTTACAGACTGTGGTCCAGCTAATCCAGCAATGGCTAACTATGAATAGAAAGTCCAAGAATCCAGTAGTTGCTCAGTCCATGAGACTGGATATTGCAGCTGGTCTTCAGTGTACACTGGAATCCTGAAGAAGTAGGCTGTAATTCTAGTGAAGGAATGGACTTGCTAGCAAAGGGAGAGCAAGCAGGCAAAGAACAAAGCTTCCTGCTTCCAGGTCCTTATGTGGGCTTCCAGCAGAAGGTGTGGTCCATCTTAGAGGTGGATTTTCCCAGCTCCAAAGATCTGGATTAAAGATCTAGATTAGGGGCTGGAGAGATGGCTCAGAGGCTAAGAGCACTGGCCGCTCTTCCAGAGCACCTGAGTTCGATTCCCAGCAACCACATGGTGGCTCACAATTATCTATAATGAGATATGGTGCCCTCTTCTTGCGTGTAGGCAGAGCACTGTATACATAATAAATAGATTTAAAAAAAAAAAATCTAGATTAAAGTTGTGTCTTCCTGGCTCAAAGATCCCAATTAGAAATAGATCCTCCCACTTCAAATTAAACAGAAATCCCTCACTGGTGTCCCCTTCATTTTTGTGTTATAAGTAATTCCAGATGTAGTCAAGTTCACAATCAAGCCATCACAAGTATGTAGCTTTGTAACTATATACCATGCCTGATGTATCTAGGATAATGATTTTAGTCACATGATTGGAGCGCATTGACTCAGTCTGTGGAGCTGATGATCCTGAGTATGGTGACTAGGCTAGACAAATCCCCACCGAAAATCTCGTGTCTCAGGGAAATCATTCACTTTCACCTTTCTCAGATCCTTTTCCTCAGAGGCTCAATTAGACATGAAATATTCAGGGTCTGTACAGATGATTGTCTTTTCCTTTGACTAACAGTGAAGCCTGCCTAACCACCAGAGTTAGACTTGCCCTCCAGCCCCCAGGACTAGAGGTGGATGTTTCCTAAGGCTTGCTTAATGTGTACGGCTTCTGCAGACAGGTGGTGCTCATCTGTTTTTCATTGATTCCAGTTTGGGTTTCTAAAGGTGACATTCCTCAGTTCATCCAGACAGCCTGAAAGCGCCTTTCTTTGTGGCCTACTGGAGAACAGCTGGAGCCTGACTTTGAGTTTTCACTTCTTTTCACACTGAGGAGGCCTGGAATTTCCATTTATGTTTTGCATCTTAACGGTTGGCACACTGTCTAGAGAGGTGTTCTGGAATCAGGTCTGTGATGCACACAGTTGGCCCCTGGGGCCTGAGGATTAATGCTGGGAGCAAGCTTGAGGGGTTTGCTTTTTAGATGTGCCCTTCTTCCATCGGCTTTGGGCTTCCGCCTCGTTAGATTACTTTATGCCATTCTTCTCTCTCACGCAGCCTGTAGAGGCTTTGAACTGCCTTTTGTTTGCGAAGCCTTAAAAGTTCAAGAGCCCTGGGTAGAGGAGGAGGGTTAGGCTGGGTGACTTGGCCTTATGCTCTTCCAGACTTTGGGGAGAAATGTCCTTTCTTTTCTTCCACATTCTAGGACCCAGGAAATGGGCCTGGGAATGATGATGGGAACCTGTTCCTCTTCAGTCGTGCTTTTGAGCGAGCCCCCGAGCTCCACATAGAAGGCCACAGGAGCGTTTTACCTTAGATTAGTACCTGCCTAGTGCTCACCTACATTTCCCCCGCACTCTCCTCCTCTTCTGGGCTCGAGTCTCGAACAGAGGGCTCAATCTCTTCCTGCAGCCATTCTTCTTGCTTGTCTTTCATTACATTTTCCTCTTGGCTTTCTCTACCTTTTCTGTAACTTCCTTCCTTCAGGGATGTACGTAAAGTATGCTGATGGTATGGCCACATACTGGTAAAGAAGAGTCTGCTGAGTCCGGAATTACCTGCATCGCCCTGGCTAGTTCTACCCTGGCAGTGATGAACAGGGGACAGGGCCAGTTCTGCTTTCACATCCTCAGGGTCGGTTCTCCCACACCTATACCTTCAGGGCCAGCTCTACTGTGGTGCCCAAGCCTGGTGCAGGGGCCGCTCTCCAGAGTGCTCCAGCTGATGAGGGCCAGGGACTGCTCTCCCACCTGCTTCGGGCACTGATGGGTAGGGGTGGGGAAGTGGGGGTAGGGGAGGGCATCTCTCCCCTTCCCATGTGGCCACATGGCAAATGAGTAATGGGGCCAGCTCTCCCATGCTCAGACTTAGGGGCTGGCTCCCCCATACTTCCACCGACAGGATTGGCTCTGTTGTGCTGCCCAGAGGAGGTGCAGGGCCTGCTCTCCTGGGTGTTGCAGCTGGTGGGGACAGGGGCAGCTCTCTACTCTTATGGCCTCCGGGTCAGTTCACCCACTGGCCTCAGGCATTGATGGGCAGGGAGAGTTTTATTTTTTTAAAGATTTATTTTGTGTGCTGAAATGTGTGTGTGTGTGTGTGTGTTGCTATTAAAGATGGGCAATCCTTGGAAAATAGAGTGCTCTGCCTCTTTGGTATGTCTGACCTGAGGTTTCTCCTCACACAGCATTCTGTTGTATGTGCTCTTCCTTTCACCTTGTGTAATTTAGCGGCTGTGGGAACACACGTGCTCAACATTGTGAGCCTGAGAGAGTATGGGATAGAGATATGGGGTGTGTGTTCCTGTGAGGGAGGAAGTAGTCATTTTCAAATAAGAAGTAGTATCTTTCTGTGGTTGAAGAGATAGTAACTGAAAGATGAAAGTAACTGGAAATTGTTTTAAAGTTTAGATCCTGGTTCTGGTCTCTTTGAACTCTAGTGCTTAAAGCTAAAACCCTTTGATTCATTTGATATTTTCATGGAAATTTGTTAGAATCGATCCCATTCTTTAGAAGATATTTAAGGAGAGTCCTGAACATAGCCTCACCCATCCTGAACTCACCGTGGCGGTGGAGATGCTCTCTTCCGTGGCCCTCATCAACAGGGCTCTGGAGTCAGGAGACATGAACACCGTGTGGAAGCAGCTGAGCAGTGCAGTCACAGGCCTTACCAATATCGAGGAAGAAAACAGTCAAAGGTATCTCGATGAGTTGATGAAGCTGAAAGCTCAGGCACATGCAGAGAATAATGAATTTATTACATGAAATGACATCCAGGCTTGTGTGGACCATGTGAACCTGGTGGTCCATGAGGAACATGAGCGGATTTTGGCCATCGGTTTAATTAATGAAGCCTTGGATGAAGGGGACGCTCAGAAGACTCTGCAGGCCTTGCAGATTCCTGCGGCTAAACTCGAGGGGGTCCTTGCGGAAGTGGCGCAGCATTATCAAGACACACTGATCCGAGCAAAGCGAGAAAAGGCCCAGGAAACCCAGGATGAGTCAGCTGTGTTATGGTTGGATGAAATTCAAGGTGGAATCTGGCAGTCCAACGAAGACACCCAAGAAGCTCAGAGGTTTGCCTTAGGAATCTTTGCCATCAATGAAGCTGTAGATAGCGGTGATGTTGGCAGAACTCTGAGTGCCCTTAGTTCCCCGGATGTTGGCTTATATGGAGTCATCCCCGAATGTGGGGAAACATACCAGAGTGACCTTGCTGAAGCCAAGAAGAAGAGACTAGCAGCAGGGGACAACAACAGCAGATGGGTGAAGCACTGGGTGAAAGGCGGGTACTACTACTACCACAACCTGGAGATGTAAGGCGGAGGATGGGACGAACCCCCAGACTTCATGCAGAATTCTGTGCAGCTCTCTCGAGAGGAGATCCAGAGCTCCATCTCCGGAGTGACCGCTGCATATAACCGGGAGCAGCTTTGGCTGGCCAACCAAGGCCTGGTCACCAAGCTGCAGGCCCGCTGCCCTGGCTACCTAGTGCGACAGGAGTTCCGATCCCGGATGAACTTCCTGAAGACACAGATCCCCGCCATCACCTGCATTCAGTCACAGTGGAGAGGATACAAGCAGAAGAAGGCATATCAAGACCGGCTGGCTTACCTGCACTCCCGCAAAGATGAGGTTGTGAAGATTCAGTCCCTTGCCAGGATGCATCAAGCTGGAAAGCGCTATCGAGACCGCCTGCAGTATTTCCGAGATCACATAAACGACATTATCAAAATCCAGGCTTTCATTTGGGCAAACAAAGCTCGTGATGACTACAAGACTCTCATCAATGCGGAGGATCCGCCTATGATTGTGGTCCGAAAGTTTGTCCACCTCCTGGACCAAAGTGACCAGGACTTTCAGGAGGAGCTTGACCTTATGAAGATGCGGGAGGAGGTCATCACCCTCATCCGTTCCAACCAGCAGCTGGAGAATGACCTCAATCTCATGGACATCAAAATCGGACTGCTGGTGAAGAACAAGATCACGCTGCAGGATGTGGTTTCCCACAGTAAAAAGCTTACCAAGAAGAACAAGGAGCAGCTGTCTGATATGGTGATGATTAACAAGCAGAGGGGAGGCCTCAAGGCCCTGAGCAAGGAGAAGAGGGAGAAGCTGGAAGCCTACCATCACCTGTTCTACTTACTGCAGACCAACCCCACCTATCTGGCCAAGCTGATCTTTCAGATGCCACAGAACAAGTCCACCAAGTTCATGGACTCTGTCATCTTCACACTGTACAACTATGCATCCAACCAGCGAGAACAGTACTTGCTGCTGAGACTCTTCAAGACAGCACTCCAGGAGGAGATCAAGTCAAAGGTGGATCAGATTCAAGAAATCGTGACAGGAAACCCTACGGTTATTAAGATGGTTGTGAGTTTCAACCCTGGTGCCCGGGGCCAGAATGCCCTCCGACAGATCTTGGCCCCTGTTGTGAAGGAGATTATGGATGACAAATTGCTCAACATCAAGACCGACCCTGTGGATATTTACAAGTCTTGGGTTAATCAGATGGAGTCTCAGATGGGAGAGGCAAGCAAACTGCCCTATGATGTGACCCCTGAACAAGCCTTGTCTCATGAAGAAGTGAAGACAAGGCTAGACAACTCCATCAGGAACATGAGGGCCGTGACAGACAAATTCCTCTCAGCCATCATCAGCTCTGTGGACAAAATCCCTTATGGGATTCGCTTCATTGCCAAAGTGCCGAAGGATTCGCTGCATGAGAAGTTCCCTGACGCTGGTGAGGACGAGCTGCTGAAGATTATTGGTAACTTGCTTTACTACCCGGCTATCATTGCTCCCGATGCCTTCGACATCATTGACCTGTCAGCAGGGGGCCAGCTCACCACAGACCAGCGCAGAAATCTGGGCTCCATTGCAAAGATGCTCCAGCACGTGGCTTCCAATAAGATGTTTCTGGGCGATAATGCCCACTTAAGCATCATTAATGAGTATCTTTCTCAGTCCTACCAGAAATTCAGATGGTTTTTCCAAAATGCTTGCGACGTCCCAGAGCTGCAGGATAAATTTAATGTGGATGAGTATTCTGATCTAGTCACCCTCACCAAGCCGGTAATCTACATTTCCATTGGCAAAATCATCAACACCCACACTTTCCTGCTGGACCATCAGGATGCCATTGCTCCGGAGCACAATGACCCCATCCACGAACTACTGGACGACCTTGGCGAGGTGCCCACCATTGAGTCCCTGATAGGGGAAAGTTGCAGCAATTTAAATGACCCCAACAAGGAGGCACTGGCTAAGACAGAGGTGTCCCTCACATTGACCAACAAGTTTGATGTGCCCGGTGACGAGAATGCAGAGATGGACGCTCGGACCATCCTGCTGAACACAAAACGTCTAATTGTGGATGTCATCCGGTTCCAGCCAGGAGACACCTTGACTGAAATCCTAGAGACACCAGCCACCAGTGAACAGGAGGCTGAACATCAGAGAGCCATGCAGAGACGTGCTATCCGGGATGCCAAAACCCCTGACAAAATGAAAAAGTCAAAACCCATGAAGGAGGATAGCAACCTCAGCCTTCAGGAGAAGAAGGAGAAAATTCAGACTGGCCTCCAGAAGCTAACAGAGCTTGGGACTGTGGACCCAAAGAACAAATACCAGGAACTCATCAACGACATTGCCAAGGACATCCGGAATCAGCGGAGATACAGACAGAGGAGGAAAGCCGAGCTGGTGAAACTGCAGCAGACGTACGCAGCTCTGAACTCGAAGGCCACTTTTTATGGAGAGCAGGTGGATTACTACAAGAGCTATATCAAAACCTGCTTGGATAACTTGGCCAGCAAGGGCAAGGTCTCCAAAAAGCCTAGGGAAATCAAAGGCAAGAAAAGCAAAAAGATTTCTCTGAAATACACAGCAGCAAGACTACATGAAAAGGGAGTTCTTCTGGAAATTGAGGACCTCCAAGTAAATCAGTTTAAAAATGTTATCTTTGAAATCGGTCCAACAGAAGAAGTTGGAGACTTTGAAGTGAAAGCCAAGTTCATGGGAGTTCAAATGGAGACTTTCATGTTGCATTATCAGGACTTGCTGCAGCTACAATACGAAGGGGTTGCGGTCATGAAGTTGCTCGATAGAGCTAAAGTCAACGTCAACCTCCTCATCTTCCTTCTCAACAAGAAGTTCTATGGGAAGTAACTGGTCGCTAGCTGCCAGCCCCTAAGAATTCAAAAGGACAGTGCCTCACCTCTGCCTTTCTAGGATCCTCCATTACTCCTTGGAAGCAAAGACCTTGTCCAGTGGTGCTGCAGTCTCGCACTCCTGAAGCACATCTTTAAGTCCGACAGGACATTCAGTGCCCTCTTAACAGTGAAGTTGTAGTTCAGGCTTCATCTTACACACACACACACACACACACACACACACACACACACACACACACACACACCCCACCCCCACTTCTCTCTTTTTCTTTCATCTTGTAGGAAAGAGTGGAGCCTCACCCAGCCCCTCTCTGTTAGGTCTCCTAAGTGGTAATGGCTACTTTGTAAACGGTGTTTGTTTTACTCAGCAATGGGATGGTGGGATTCAAATTCTTGTTTAGAAGTGACAGCTGTCAGGTGAACAGCGGACATGCGCATCAGAGTCACGGTTAAGGGTGGCCCATGATAGCCCATGCGCAATCAGAGGACGAAGTCTGTGGTGTCTTCCTTTCCACTGCCTTTGTGGGCGGAGCTAAGTCCAAGTTACTGCTCTCTGTTCAAAGGAAGCAGCTTCGGGAGAGAGAGCAGCTGCTTTTGATTCCCCACTAAACCTGGGCAGCCCTCTTGGTGTGGTCCTTCCTGGTGAAGGAGAACCCCACGATCATAGCCACCCCTTTAGAGACGCTTCGAGTGGGCCACAGCACCCACTCAGAGCAGTGCACAGAGTTCCACTCAAGGACAGTGTCTGCTCCCTCGCTCTCTCCCACAAAGGGGTGGCTCACCCTGTCCCAAAATGTTTTCAAAACTATTTGTGTTCCAAGAGTGCCTTACTAAAGTATAAATTTATTTCTTGAAATGTGAGTCATAGGAATTTTAAAGATTTGTATAATGCTTTAGAATACCCTGAAAAGGGGTCATTTCTTATTGGGTTATCTGTATATCTGAATTCTTGAAGCTTCTTTATAACCTACATTAGGGTTTATCTACAGAGTCGGCAAGATCTTAGCAACAGCAGCCAGCCCATCTCATCTTTGAAGTTCAAATCCGTTTCCCACTCTCTGCTCTGCCGCCATATTCATGCTTGTATTCTGAGAAGCCTGGACCCTTAGGCTTCAACTAACAAAAACCAATCAGTTCCAGGCATTGAATTTGGAAACCTTTGTTCTTGGATTAAAAGTCATAAACTTTAAAAAACAAATCTGTTTATCCAAAAAGATAGGTAAATCATACACTGAGCTTTCAATTTCTTTGATGTTTGGTATTCTTGCATAAAACATAAAAATTAAGCTAATATTACAGTTTACTGATGTATATTGAAGGCAAATAAGCCATTTTGATTAGTAACAGATAGCCAGGCAATGGTGGCACACGCCTTTGATCCCAGCGCTCTGGAGGCAGAGACAGATGGATCTCTGTGGGTTTGGGGCCAGCCTGGTCTACAAAGGGAGTTCAGGAGAGCCGGGGCTACACAGGGAAACCCTGTCTCGACTCCCCCCTCCAAATGGTTAATTAGTGATAGGTATGTAGCATGTCCCTATTACAAATGTAAGTCTTGGAGAAGTGTCCTTCACGGTGTCCCCATGGGTGGTGAGGCCTCCGTGAGTGGGTGTAGGTAGAGGTGGGTGCTCAGGGAGGACTTGCCACCAGTGGCCCTGTTTTTCATTATGTTTTGGAACATAGTTTTCTCAGAAAATATTTTCTTTAGGTTAAAGGGAAATGCTAAGGTTGGCATGGTAGTACATACCTGTAATCCCAGGGTGACTAAGTCAAGGCCAGCCTGGGCTACATAGCCATACCCTATTTCAGAAAGAGAGAGGGAGAGGAAGAGAGGGAGAGGAAGAGAGGGAGAGGAAAAAGAGAAGAGAAGGGGTACTGTTACAACCAGTGTCACCTTAAAACAGGACCAACAGATGTGTCCAGCATCCTTTTTTCATTCTTTGCTTTTTCTCTTTCTGGTTTTCTTTCCACCATCTTTCTTTCTTTTTTCTTTTCTTTTTTTTTTTTTTGACAGGAGACGGTGTCTCTGTTTAGTTTTGGCTATACTGGAACTCTGTGTAGACCTGGCTGTCCTAGAACTCGGGGATATCCACCTGCCTCTGCCTCCTAGGTGCTGTGATTGAAGGCGTGAGCCACTATGCCTGGTCTCAAGTATGGTTTCTTAAAAAGTGTCCATCACAAACGTGGTCCCAGCAGCCACCTCCAGCCCAGGAGTGAGTTCAGGTTGCAGTGCCTTAGGATGTCCCCGATAACTGTAAGGATGCTCCTTCCCTGAATACCGAGTTAGAACTGCGCCAACGCTCTCGGAGACTTTCATGGCTGCTGTGGGGTCAGTCCTGCTGTGAGCAGCCCCAAGGTCGCCTGGCGAGCCCAGGTGGGCACACTGAAGTCATGCCCCGCTTGTGTTATTTATTAGCTGCGGCTGTCTCAGTCCTGGCTCTCCCCTCCTCCTCTGACCTTCTCTCTGACCAGCCATCATGACATTTACTATGAATTTACTTCCTCCTCAGAATTTGGACAGGCTGTCAGATTGTTGCTACACACAATTGCCTTTGTATCTCTGTATGAAATAAAAGGTCATTTGTTCCTGTTTAAAAAAAAAAAAAGAAGAAGATATTTAAGAATGTTGTTCTAACCCTTAAAAATAATGTATGTATGAATGTGGATATGTTGCTGCGTTGTGTGTATATCTCTTGCCTGCAGAGGCCAAATAGCACATTGGATTCCCTGAAACTGACATTACAGATGGCTGTGAGCCACAGTGGGATGGTAGGAGTTGAACCTGGGTCCTCTGGAAGAGCAGCCAGTACTTTTAACCACTGCGCCATCTCTTCAGCTCCTGTTTTAACCTTTAAAATCAATCTTTTAAAATAGAATTTTTGTTAAGAATATCTTGGATTGGGTGTAGTGGTACAGAGCTATAGTCTCAGTACTTGGGATGCTGAGTCAGGAGGATTGTGAGTTTGAGGCTGCCCTGTACAACACAGCAAGATCCCGTCACCCTGTCTGGTGGGTGGGTGGGGGGCACATCTTGAGCATTCTCTGCTGTACATCAGGCTCACTGGGTATGTACAGGTGTTTCTCTCTGGAAGAACATGTTTATGTAGCCTTGCTGTCTTGCCTCTGTGGTTCTTCTTTAGTGCTACCTCGCCCTGGCTAAAGGAGGCTTGTCTGATGACCATGTCCTCATCCTGCCTATTGGACACTACCAGTCAGTTGTGGAGCTCTCAGCAGAGGTGGTGGAAGAAGTGGAGAAGTATAAGGCTACTCTGAAACGCTTCTTTAAGAGTCGAGGGAAGCGCTGTGTTCTATTTGAAAGAAACTATAGGAGCCATCACCTGCAGCTTCAGGTAGGTGTTTTCTGCCCAGGAACTTGGAAATCACTATGGGGACTTGAGATTGATAAATATTTAAATAGTTATGACATCAGTATTGAATTTTAATTCATGATAATATTCAAATAGTGGTCATTTAGAGGGCTAGGAGTGTGCTGATAATCCTAGAGATATCATCAGGAAGTTCATGCTGGGGGTAAGTGACCAGCAGGATGCTGTATGCCCTGTTTAGAAAAAGAGGGTAATTAAGAAAGGTTCCAAGGCAGATAAAGACATGGGCCATGCTGGGTAAGACATAGATATTTTGTGTGGAAGTCCAGCATGAATGAAGGCTTAGCAGTAGGAAATAAGTTTCCAGCTAGCATGGGGCTGGTACATTGGGAGTTGAGTGATTTGTTTCTCTGGTGGTAGCGTCTTTCTGGCACATTTGTTAAGTGTTCAAATGGGCCTGACTCTGCCACATACATTATGCAGGAGCCAGCAAAGTCTTAGAGACAAAGAGTCTCTCTTGAGAGTTTTCTGATGACAGATTGGCTCCCATAAGTAACTCGTTCTCATAAGTTTAAGTCCTACAGCCAGGCCGGTGGAGGCCGTTTGGCCTGAGGAGAGTCTGTGCTGAGGGGTTTCTCCACCCCAGTGATGAATTTCTTACTCCTCTGAGACTTGAAAGATAATTTATTTGGAGTCACTTCAAAGAGTTTCTTCTGTTCCTCCATACCAACCCAGGTCATTCCTGTGCCCCTCAGCTGCTGTGCCACAGATGACATTAAAGAGGCCTTCATCACCCAGGCCCAGGAGCGACAGATAGAGCTGTTGGAGATTCCAGAGCACTCAGACATCAAGCAGGTGAAGCAGGAAGAGCTGGTGACGCTCAGGGAGTAGTTAAGATCTGGGCTTTGACAAGCAGAATCAGAGGTGCTGCCAAGCTATTCCAAAAATACTAAATAGTGGGCTGTTTGGCACTAGAAAACAGGATGTTGGTAAGACTAGAGATGAAGACATCATTATCACAGAGTCTTAGTGCTTTCCTAGGAATAAGGGATTAGACATTTCATGGGGCTGGGAAGATGGCTTGGTGAGGACTTGAGTTTCATCTCCAGCAGCCTTGTAAAGGTCAAGTGCTGGGACACGTGCCTGTGATCCAAGTGCTGAGGAGGTAGAGACAGGATGATCTCTGGCCAAACTGGAAGGCTGCAGGCTCAGTGAAGGACCCATCTCAAAGTATAAGGTGGAGAGAATTGAAAAAGTCACCCAGTGTCTTCTGGCCTCCAGGCATGTGGATATACCCACACATGTAATCACACACATGAGAATAGGTACACACATATATAAACCCACATGAATTAAACAAACAAATTAGACACCTCCTAAAATGGGAATTTAGAAGGATGGGTACCACTGGAAATATATTGGCTTTTTAAACTCCAGCTCCTATACTGTCTCATTTTTTTTTTTTATTTTCTAGACCAAATTCTTTGCTAAATTAAGAGTTTGCAGGAGATAAGTGAGCCTTTTAAATTTGATCTTATTTGTCCTCATACAACTCTGTTTACTTTAGATTGCACAGCCAGGAGCAGCGTATTTTTATGTTGAACTCGACACAGGAGAAAAGCTTTTCCACAGAATTAAAAAGAATTTTCCTTTGCAATTTGGAAGGTTTGTTTGTTTTCATTCTATTAGTTATTTCGTTAGACCTCTGAACACAGTGATGGGCTCTATGGACAGTCGATGAAAAACCAACTAGGGAATGGTCCATCCCAAGAAGCTTGCAGTTGTAGGGCAGATCAGTGTTAACAGTTTGTGATTTAGAGTTTGAACAGTACCATGATTGAATCCTGAGGAACACTGTACTTTAGAAACTCAGAGAAGGAAGGGTTTATTTCTGCTAAATGTAAGGTGCCATGAAAGGCCTGAAAGTGAACTTAAGAGATAGACCCAAGAGGGAAAAGACAGGATGAGAGCGCTCCTGTTGGAATGAAGTGCTACCATTGAGCATGTGCTGGGTCAGACACTGGTAAAAACTTCACATGCATTATCTCATTTAACCTTCCAGTTCTGTTGTTTATATCCTGTAATCCCAGTTGCCAGTGTGAAGAATGATACTCTGGAGCAGTGCCCAGCAGAACTTCATACCAACATGAATATGCTCCATAAAGCTGCACTATTATAATAATCGCAAGTTACATGTAGCTGTAGGATACTTGAAAATGAGACTGAGTAGGCAGTGAGATGAAGATGGCTTGCTGCGAAGCCTGGTGACTTAGTTTGATCTTTGGGACCTCCATGGTAGGAGGTAACTGACCACATGGGTGCCATAGCATGCATGAACCCATACACATAAATAAACATAGTAAAAAAAATTGAGAATGGAACTGAAGAACTGAATTTTTAATTTTATTTAATTAATTAGAGCTTAAATTTAAATAGCCGCATCTGGCTAGTGGCTACTCTTGGATATTGGTACCTTAAGATGAATTAAGTAGCACGCCATGGTCACACAGTTGAAGGTTCAAACCTTAGTCTGGTGAACACCAAGATGAGAATAACCTTGTTATCTGCATTGTTCTGAAAGCCTGTATGGAGGGAAGTAGAAAATGCACACAGTGGGTGATCTGATGCTGATCTCTGATTTGCAGCTTCTCCAACCACTCCCAGTGGTTTGACCTGGGCTTTGAGTGAGCCTTTAGCCATTCCTAGACTGATTTGGAAAGCTTCGCCTCATTGCATAAATCCAGCAAATAAGAGTCTTTTTTATTTCCAAATAGATAATGGATAAATGAGAACAAGTATGTTAAATGCTCCAAATATCTGGTTTAATCTCGTTGCCTTAGCAACAGATGTAGATAGGCATAGTAGGCATATGATGCCAATACACACAACCATGTATAGTACACAAAATGGTTTGTGATCATGGTAGTTGTTTATGTTTTATAAACTGTAATATACAATTGATACATTTTATACTTAATAGGGAAAATGGTTATATCTTCATTTTACATATGAAGAAACATGTTCAAGGTTTCCAGGCAAATCAAAATTTGAGCTTAGATCCTTTGACTTTCAGAGGACCACTGTGATTCATTTTCACCTTTTTATTTATTGTACCTTCAAAGTTGAGATGAGCCATACAGAACTGTTTCTAATAAATTAAAAGTATTAATATAAACCATGAGGAATTAGAAGCTGCATGTATATGTACCTGTATAAACTGTTTCTTCACATTGAACTTCTCTTGGTGCACTCATACAAATGAGAGTCGCCTAGAGGGACAGGTAGAGGGATTTTGTGACTGAACCATGCCCTCAGCAAACTCACTGTCTAGTCAGAATGTCAAAGCTATAGTTTAAGAAAAGATACAGCTGCTGGGAATGTGCTTTGGTTGTATGGCTTCTGTACTGTACCAAATCCTGTCAGGAAGGTGTTCTTGTAAGTGAGCCTTAAAGCAAGGACAAAAGAAGAAGTAGTATTCAAGTCATAGACATCAAGTCACAGAGCTTGGAGTGAAATTCACTTTCTGATTTTTCTGACACCAGGGCCTGTCGTCTAGTTTGTATGTGGTATTCTTTCCCTAAGTACTTTATCGTGGCTCCGAGTTGTTCCTGGGAAGGAGAAATAAATGGGGTGGGAGAGGTCACTCAATAAGGCAATGATTTCAGTAGATAGAACAGCAGAGATGTCAGTCAGGGCCGGAGACCAGTATGAGTAGTAAGAGATCTGCATACTCTTTAGATGCGACTGAGGGGAGCTGGCTGGAGAGGGACAAAGGAATGGTGTGTTTCAGTCGCTACTCGGATTTTCTCTTCTTTGTGCTCTTTGCAGGGAGGTGCTGGCCAGTGAAGCCATCCTCAATATTCCTGACAAGGCTGACTGGAGGCAGTGCCAAGTCAGTAAGGAAGAGGAGGAGACCCTGGCTCGCCGCTTCCGGAAAGACTTTGAACCTTTTGACTTCACCCTGGATGACTAGGCAAAGGGAAGGCACTGTATGGACGTTGCGGGAAATTGTTACAGCCTGTTTTTCAAGTGAAACTGCAATCTCCCGTGGGGGCTGCCTCCCTGCCTCTGTTCCAGATATCCCCATGGAACCTGCTTGCAGCAGCAAGAGACCTAGGAAAGTCACTCTGAGATGCAACTGTGTGTTAGAAGAATGTCTGCTACGTATTTCTAAGAAGAGCTGTGTTTCTTCACAAATCTTTGAACCTTTGAGGTTGGGTGTAGTTGCTCATGCCTGTAATCTCAGAAATTGAGGAGTTGTAGCAGGAAGATTGCTGTGAATTCAAGGCCAGCCTGGTCTACATAGTGAGTTCCAGGCCAGTCTGGGCTATTGATGTGAGACCCATGCAGACGGATTTGCTAAATGGTCTTATTAATAAAAACCTGGAGCCAGATATAGGGGTGAAAATCTGAGAGATCGTAGGAATAGATAAAGCCACAAGCTAACCTCACCTCACCAACACCTCAGTCTCCAAGAGAGACCTACTTCCTGTATACCCACGCCTATATGCCTTTCTGTTCTGCTCTCTCATTTGCTCTCTGTCCAGCTACATTACTTCCTCTTCCTGCTCAGCTGTCACTTCCTGTCTGTCTATACAGACTTCCATGGTTAACTAGTGTTGGAATTTAAGGTGTGTGCCACCACTGCCTAGCTCTGTTCCCAGTGTGGCCTTGAACTCACAGAGATCCAGACAGATCCCCGGGCGATAGGATTAAAGTCGTGTGCTACCATTGCCTGACTTCTATGTTTAATATAGTGGCTGGCTTCTTCCTCTGGTCTTCAGATAAACTTTATTGGGTTGCACAAATAAAATATTACCACAGACCCATCTCAACCCCTACCTCCAAAAGCAAAAATAACCATCCCCAAATCTTGTAAATGATAAAAAAGGAATGCTTTTCTAAGGGTGACAAATGTCTTACGTTGTTTATCACCACTGAAATGAAATTGTGTGTGCATGCGCGTGTGTGCGCGTGCATGTAATAGAGACCACAGTTTATGCCTAGCAGTTATCCCAGAATAACACAGGCAGCTCAGTCTGGGGAAGGGAAATTCGTGGCCTTGGCTATTGTTTTCTCACAGCATCCATCATCTTGTTCACATAAAAGTCCATTCCATCTTTCAGATGTTTAACTGATATACTAGGAAGTTTTCCAAGTTCCAAGAGGATAGCCATTGAGTGCCCCAGCGTGGCACCTATTGTAGAGAGTTCATAGTCTAACTGGGGAAGGAAGTGGCAGAGTTAAGACAATTAGTTTTTCTTTGAATGTCTTGTTTTTGATGTTTAAGATACCTGAGTCATCCAATAGATATGTCCAGATTGCCATTAGGTAATTCTAAAACTCATGCAGATCAGGATTGGTGATGGAGCTGTGAATGCATTTTAGATGTTGAAGACAGCTGACTTATCTAACAGATGTATCCAGAGTGCTCTTAGATAATTCTCAAACTCATGCAGATCTAGGTTGGTGATAGGGCTCTAGAGTTCATCAGGGTATAGACCATAGTGAAATTACAAAATAAAATAGGGGAAGTACAGTTAGTCCCAATAAAGATGACTAAGATTTAAGGAAACAGTGATCCCGTGACCAGTAAGTCCATGGAGCAGGTGCAGTGTGACCACAGGAGAATGCTGTGTATTCAGAAGCCAGAAGAAAATAATTGTTCTTATTTATTGGCCACTTAAGGCCCAGATACATTTTCACTTAGTTCTCACAAAAATCTCTTGACCTCCATTTCACATATAAAAACAAAAAACAGTCTTGGAACCTGATGATTATGGAGCCTGAGATAAACCATTTTACAGTTATAAATAATAAAAGGCCAAGCCTTTAATCCTAGCATTCAGCGGGCAGATCTCTGTGAGTTTGAGACCTGGTCTACATAGTGAGTTCCAAGTCAGAGAGGGCTATAGAGACCCTGTCTCAAAAAACAAAAATAAAATAACAAACCTTGAGTTGTGTTTTAAGAATAGAATATTTACGCCGAGCGGTGGTGGCGCACTCCTTTAATCCCAGCACTTGGGAGGCAGAGGCAGGCGGATCTCTGTGAGTTCGAGGCCAGCCTGGGCTACCAAGTGAGTTCCAGGAAAGGCGCAGAGCTACACAGAGAAACCCTGTCTTGGGGAAAAAAAAAAAAAAAGAATAGAATATTTAAAAAGTGAACTAACTGTAGGAACCAACTTGGATTGCCCAGTCAACATTATCCTGGCTGTAGTTTTCTCTCACACTTCTGAGTGTGAATTATGAAATTACATCCCACCTGTGGAAACTGGACACTCCTAGTACTCGTAGCTGTCATATACAGCAAATGAGGTTTCATATTGACACATGACAGTCTGCTCTGCTCTAAGGGGTGTGTTTTCAGGGGCTCGTTTGCTAATACCGTCAAATCTGCTATTCCAATTCCATGGACTCCATGAAAATAATAAAACCAGCTAGTTGAATACCACCCATTATCAGTGACCCACAACACTGACTTGCATACAGACATTGAGAATTTGATTCTATGCAGAGGCTTACACTTTTGAGTTATTAGCATCCCTAGCTTCAGCCTGGTGAAGTGCTATAAGCCTGAATCAGATGGAGGAACAGCAAGTTCTAGACCAGCCTGGACTATATGAGACCCTGTCTTAAAACACCTAGGTTCCATGAAGCAGATAATCCACTCAAATACAAACAATGCACTACTCAGAAGTATGCCTTATTGGACCAAGACCACCCCCAAGCTTGGCTTTGCAGCCCGGTAGCACACCTCAGGAACAACTCCAACCCAGAACCACTGCTTCAGGCAATCGGAAACAGCAAGGCGGAGAAGCATCAAGATCCGCGAGGTCCAAAGGGAAACTCACAAGTCCAGAAGAAGAGTTTTCTCTCTGGAATAACATCACATCCTTGGGTGGTTGGGATTATAGGAGAGATTCTGAACAGATGCGCAGGAGACCATAGTGCACTTGGAAGGCCAATGAATCAACCGGCCGGTTAGCGCAGTTTTCTTTCATGTTTACGGTGGTCTTTACCAGTAAGTGATAGGGTTGGAGGGGCAGAGGGCAGGGCTCTGAAAAAAGATGAAATGTGGACGGAGTAGGGACAAATAGGAAGTTTAGGGTTTGGAGAGAGATATATTTTAAAATAAAAGCACGCATGAAACCTTCAAAGAGCTCATTGAAATACATACACAAAATATAAAATAAAAATCCCACACACGAAGGTCCTCTGAGCCTGGATGATGCCCAGGGCACTTAAAAGGGCACAGTGCAACCCGCTGGTGCCCAGCCCATTCGCCAGCACCAATCCCAGAAGGGATGTGTTCTGAGTGGCATTTGCTATTACCATCAAGTCTGACATTCCAATTGCATGGAATACATGAAAATAGAGCCAACGAATCGAAGACCACTCATTACCAGTGACCCACAACATCGGCTTGCATACAGACACTGAGAATTTGATTCTATGCTGAGGCTTACACTTGGGGGACATTAGCATCGCTGGCTTCAGCCTGCCGCAGTGCCAGCACCCTGAATCAGGAGAAGGCCGGGGCGGGACTTTTCCTGCGGAAGCTATGGGAAGTGCAGCTATGGGAAGTGACGCGGAGGTCTCGCGAGGAGAAGGACGCGCGAGCCTCGGCGGCCCGGAACCGGCCTTGGACCGGCGGCGAAACCTGAGGCGGCTGGCGCTCCCGCCCCATGGAGTGGCCCCCGGGGCTGCGGCCGGGCGCGGGCGGCCCCTGGGAGATGCGGGAGCGGCTCGGCACCGGCGGCTTCGGGAACGTCTGTCTGTACCAGCACCGGGTGAGGCGGGGGGCGGGAGCGGTGGCGCTGGATCTGTCGGGGCGTTCCTGGAACCCCGGCTGTCAGTCAAGGTGGGAGAGGTGGTCGGGAAGACCCTGGGCAGTGCCAGGGGCCGGTGAGATCCTGTGCGTGTGAGCCTGGTGGCCGAGTGCCACCCTGGACAGTGAGTGAGATGAAGCTGTGTCGGGTGACGAGGAGTGTGTATGAGTGTGTGTTTGTGTGTGTGTGTGTGTGTGTGTGTGTGTGTGTGTGTGTGTCCAGTGTGTGTGTATGCGCACGCTTGAACAAACAAGGAAGGTCCTTCCTGGTGTCCAGAGTTGAGCCTTTGGAAACACTGACCGACTCTGGAATTGCAGCATTCCAGGCAAGGACCAGTGCGAGGGTAAGGTGGGGAAAATGATCCTTGCTTCAAAGGGAAGGGAAGAGACTATGGGGTTTGTTCTGTAAAGGACAGCTAACATCAGGCTCGGGAAATTTGCTTTGATTTCAAAACATTTAACCATTGTGACAGCAGTTACTTGTACTTTTACAAGATTTTTAAAACTAGCAGTCACCTTGCTTATTTTAATGTTGTGGATGGTGGGAGTGGTACAGGGCCCTGCACATGCCAGGCAAATGGTCTGCCACTGGGTTACATCCTCAGCCCCAGGTAATCACGTTTCAGTCACGAGTCTCTTGATAATACAATATAAAAACTATGGATCTTTTCTCCAGAAAAGTAATACCCATACAAAGCAGTGCATTACCATTGAGGGTTTTGCTTTCCTGAAGAATGTTGTAACATACAGATTTTTGAACACTAATCATTGAAGTATAGGATTTGTTGTCTGTAAAATATGTGGAAGAATGTATATACATCCTGGGTCTGTTTGAGAGTTAAGTGAGATAGGAATAGAGATTTTTAGTAAGTGCTAGAGTAAGCACTGAAATTGTCCTGAAATAGCTCTCCACTGTTCTGTGCTTGCGTTGTTGTAGTTATCACTCACTAACTGGACTTAAAAAGAGGAACTGTAAGAGAAAATGGTGTTCTGGAAAACCATATGTGAGGAATAAGTTTAATTAGAATAAAGACAGTAAGCCGAGTATAGGCATTTTAGTAACATCTTACGGGTGTGTTTACTGCTTCCAGTAAGCTCATTTGTAGAAGTGATGCTCCAGTATTTCATGCATACCTCTCAGGACAGGAGAAAAGCCGTGACATGATTTAGCTGGTTTCTGTATTGGGCACTGATGGTGCCCAAATCAGCAAAAACAGTATTTTCCACCCTGAAGGAAATGTCCATTTCAGGGAGGGATGGACGTAGAACACAGCACAGATCATCTTGGTGGCTTACAAATGTAATCCCAGCACCTAGGGTCCGGGGCAAGAGGCAAGAGGGTTTTGAACTTGAGGTCAGCGTGAGTTATGTAGGAAAAGACTGTCTCAGAAATAAACGTAAGTTCAGTGTAAGAGCCTAGACACTGAAAGTACTGGCGATGTGATTAGCCAAAGAACTTGTCCTAGGGGGTAGGGAAGAACTTCTTCAGGGGTGTTTGAGAAACTTAGTTCCATGGAATACATTAAAGAATGTAGAAGCCAGGCATGGTGGGAACACTTGGGAGAC